ATGAACGCATCTAAACCCCTTTCTTCTGGTTATCCTACGAGGAGTAAAGCAGACAGTATGTGCCTAATGTTCCTCACAAACGCACCCAACAACCTACGTAATGCCGGACATTTCAGCTCCAGGGCAGCGCAAGCCCCATATATACAACACGCTGAAAGCAAAAACGCCGATGCGTGGAGGAAGCCAACGGAGACGCCTAGCGCCGCACACAAAAACCGGTGAGTGCGTGCGAGTTTCAGACTCGGACGCCCAACAGTCCAGGCCACCGGTCACGCTCACACACAGCTGCAGTGTACTGGTGCAGCTAGTTCGTCATTCTTTTTCATTTTCGGGCGCCTTCAGTGCCCATTTTTCATTGGCCGGTCAGAGTTGGGTTAATATACGTTCGCACCTTATTTACTGCTGCATAATGCCATTTTTATATATGATGGATTGTGGCCCTTGAGACGATTGGATGTGGGACAATGTAACCTAAGCCGGGCCAGGTCACATAGATGCTCTCGTTTCAACTGCCGCGTGCTGTGAAATGGCCATGTCGAATGGTACCAAGTAAGGTGGCCGGGCTTGTCACGCGACACATGCCGCCACCAGATGGCGTGCCGTGCCAGGCGGCCGTCCTCTGCGACCGACGGTGTAACCTGGTGCCACTTGTAGTCAACAGCGCTTAACTGCCTTCGGCGTCATTTGGCCAGACACGGATCAAAAAGTCGCCGGAGCTTGACATCAGGGCACGAAACTATCGGCGTGTCATGAACTCCGGTCATGACAAACATTGACGATATCCAGCATCAAGGGCTGTCTTTAGGCTTGATTCCTCCTAGAGCATGCCTATGTGACACCGGCCGTGCAGCTGAGTGGAGCTAGGTCGTTACAGGAGAGCCAGAATTGAGGTACGGTGACGCGATGGGAGATCATAAACATCCCAACAGCTTGGCTTTCGGGGAGCTGATGCAACTTCCGGATGTTTGTCAGACTGTGGATGGATGCTGTAGCATATTGTAGTTATATTTTATATGTAGTTGTAATTATTGATGTTGTCGTTATTGCTGTCATTGCTGAGAACGTTCTTGTTATTGTCACTGATGTTGCTGCTGTCATAGACGTTCTTGCTGTTTATTCAACCACACAGCTGGTGTGCAATTATACAAGGTCTTTCCAGTGCAGGGTTTTCCGTGACTACAGCTTGCCTAGTTTTCGGGATATTAGGGAGCCTCTGAGGCCACTCTGATAAAGCGAAGTTGAAAAGAGTTGAGGCATAAGGCCTGTTCGCACAGGGACTACAAAGAAATTTAACCCTTTTCCTCAGACAAGCAAAATAATGCCGTACAAATTTCTTGCAGCTCCGAAGAGCCCTAAACAGCAGATATATTTGCGACAGTCGTCTTTTGTCATTGATTTTGAGCTACTGACCAAAGCGCTGCAGGAATTATATGCTGTTGATGCTTACTGGCCTGCCATGTGTAAAGGCTTAAGCCAAGACCTTGTCTAGACTTTTGTGGCAAAGACAAAACACATCGCAGAAAGCAATGATGTTGAATGACCGAGAGAGCATGCTGCTGCTTAACAATTAGTCTTTACCCAAAACGACGTGAGCTGTTAAGTGCATTTATGAGGAACATTATTCATATAGATAAGACAGTAGTAATAGCCTTATTCCTCGGAGAGAACCAGCAGAATGGAGATGTAGATGTGTTGATATTTCGGCAGCCTGCCTTTATCCAAACGAATAGCAGAAGTTCTGCTATTCGTTTCGATAAAGGCATGTTACAGAAGAGCAACGCAACTATATCTCCATAACCCTGGTTTTTCCTCAAGGAATAAGGCTATTACTAATGTCTGATCCCACCCAAAGTGACCACAAGTGATCAAAGTGAACGGTTAATGGCGAAATACAAGTTTTGCTTTACAGGCCCTTGAAGTATGAATGTTTTGGTTTAAACCACTCGCAAAGTCATCAAATTGGCACTCTAGAAGCTGGAGGGAGAAGGCACAGCATTATGACTATAAGCTTATTAATCAATCAAAAAGCTGCATGGCAGCTTGAAGAGAAATCACGAAAATAATAACAATGATTCGCACAACTAATAGGAAGAATATCATGCATGGTAAAGACATTGACCTAGTTGAATCTGGTGGACAGTAACAGAAGAACGGTGGTACGGTAGTCAAATTTAAAGAACTCATTAATTCGCCTGCAAATAATACACGACTGGTGATTGCGTTAAGGATATTTTCATCTTCATAGTCAATAAGAAAACCATTTGTTACGACACTTAAGTGCTATCCATTTGGAGCAGCATATGCGTTTCCAATCAAGCCTTACAATCCGTCTGCATGGTGTGCTTGATCACCCGATGCGTGATAATTAGAAATTGGCTAGCATCTGTCCAGCAACGTACAGCTATGTCCTGTAATGCCGTAATTATGTCGATTATTTTTGAAACGACAGCAAAATGGTTCGCACATACACTGGGAAACGTCACAGGCTTCCATCAGACCGTTGGACAGTAGCATAGGTGCGTCATATAATTCATCAGACCGTAGGACGGTGTTGCATCGGAAACGTCGCATAATTTCATCAGACCCTGAGGATTATTACAGGTTCTTTAGAACGCACAGGCGTAGGGCGTACGTAAGTGTTATTGCTGGGACTCAGGTGAGTTCCGTGGATGATTGAGTCGAACCGGAAGGCAAGGACCGAGCAACTTTTTGCCGCCACCTATATATAGCGTAAAGCCTATACAACGCAGCACCTTCAGCACGCGCACGCATGAAGCCTTACTGAGCTCGCTTAAAGCCTGCCGTGTAAGAGGATTAGCCTACCTCATGAGCCCTGCAAGTCACGACACTACGTGATGCTGAACTGTTAAACAAGGTGGAGACATTTAAGAGCACAATAACACTCCAAAGTCTGGCGTTTTTAGCGGTCCCAGTTTTGCATCCCAAGGTAGATGCTGGAGGAAACGGCGGCGGCGATCGACAGGTCACCATCCGCCTGCGCGCGAAGTACACATCACCGCGGACACCGGTGTACATGGGCAAACACATCACCGGTGTTTACCTATGCGGCCTCTATAGACCTCCCCACCGATCTTCTGAGTCGCTCGGCACGTCACCACACAGCTGAGTGCTTAAAATAACATCATGTTGGGCTCGGACGGAACTGCTTGACATGACCGGAAGATGCCCTGACGAAAACGAGCGCTTCGTTACCGTGCAGTTTAATAAAGTTCGGAACCACGTGGCAATGCTCCGGCCATTGTCAAGACCGCGGTGATATAGGCTGTTATGCACCACGCTATAGCGGATTTGCCGGTTCTTGATATTTATCTTGATGTACATGGCTGGGCCTATGGGGCCCCTGAGGAACAGCCCTGCCGGTGATGGGCGTTGGTGGAAGAAACGTGCTGGAGAGGCTTACTGATCAGACAGTGCACCGGCTCAAAGCGTCCTGCCATCTGGCGGTGCGCAGGCCTAACTTTGGTTTGCCAGTACAGTATCCCAATGAATCATAATCCTCATCAAGCAGCATCATCATCAAAGTTGTGATAATGTGTTGCACGAATGCGTGACCTTGTCCTTCCGTCAAGCACGACGGGGATGTAATCTTTTGCACAGATAATCAATAGTAGCATCGATGACGAGTACTCGCGTCCTGTTGAAAATCGAGCCTTTTTTCGAGTGCGCATTTTAGCTTGGTGGTGACACTCAACCATCCGCAGGTGTAAGCGAGTCCGCCTTTTGTGTTGCCATGCCAACATGAGGACGTCGCAAAATCGGATGGCGCTGTGTGGAGATTAAGGCTATGTTTAACGCACGCGTAGGAAGACTAGTTAATTGTCTGTAGTAAGTTTAGGCAGCCATAATTAGCCTGTCACTACATCACACAAAATGGTTACAGCTGAGATAGTCCTGTCAGACTGATGTGGCAACAAACCGAATTTGGCCAAAGAAGCAAGGTAGCATGTATTCGCATACAGCTTACACAATGATCCAACAGCAATCGGTCTTTCCGGAGCACAATGCGCTGGTTTAGTGGAGGTAATCGACATGCTCATATTTCTGCACGACTTTTTCCGACAAAAGAGAGGCCACCTTACCTCGTAATTCCGATATCCTTGTTTTAGAGACATTCGTCAGTTTGCCTGAAGGCGCCGCTGCAACGGTTTATAGGGTAACGTCCCACACGAGGCTTAGCAGTGTACAGCGCTGCATCACCGAGCTCAGCAGCGCCCATGCGCAGCATTCAGGATCACACCTGTCCTCCCTCATGGTAACGTCACAGCCTTGCAAGCGGTGTGAAGGAGGTACTCAATCGCAGGGGTGGACCATGTTATATATTTGGAGACGATCTGGTCTCCCCCTCCCCCACCTCTACCCTGTTTCTGAGCATGTTGAGCATGTTGAGCACAAGGCATGTTGGCCTCTGGGTGTTGCCTGAAGGAACGACATACCATTGTGGCTAGTGTACTGCCAATCGTATGGTGAACGTCTCACCATTGCTCACAAGGCTTGAGTCGGCGGAGTGGTGCGACACTCAGCACCCACGCGCCATCACTAAACGGTGGAGCACGGCACTCGACACTCACACGTCATCACTGAACGGTGGAACACAACACTCAGCACTCACACGCCATCACAGAACGGTGGAGCACAACACTCAGCACTCACACGCCGTCACTGAACGGCGGAGCACAACATCTTAGTTGTGCTCCGCCGCACTTACACGCCATCATAGAACGGTGCAGAACGGCACTCGACACTCACACGCCGTCACTGAACGGTGGAGCACAACACTCAGCACTCACACGCCATCACAGAACGGGGAGAACGGCACTCGACATTCACACGCCGTCACTGAACGGTGAAGCACGGCACTCGACACTCGCACGTCATCACTGAACGGCGGAGCAGCACACTCGGCACTCGTAAGAGGTTGATGGGCGGCGAGGCACGCCACTAGCTCCCTCTCCATGGACGGGCGTGGCGGTGGTACTCACACAAGCTCGAGGGTGCTGTCCATGGTCTCGCCGTCCGGCCACTTGAAGTAGCAGAGGGTGCGAATGCTGTTGTCCTCGTATATGAAGGTGAAGGTTTGGCTCGCCTGCGGTGGGGGCGTTCACAGCTGACTATGGGCTACCGTGATGCCACTTTTACCCACCCCTACTACTCTCTTGACATCAGTTCCGAGCGGTAGTAAACGTCGGAAGCTACGGCTGGGGCGCTCTAACTGAAGCAGTCAGCCCGCTCCCGGCCGGGAAGGGGGGAGGGGGTGGAGTTTGATTTCCTCCTAGGATCTCCAACTTCCAGACGTCTATGAGAAAATAACGATACCATTCTGATGATCATATCAAATCATGGGAATGCACACCACATTTTCACGCTACGTCAAATGTAAGGTCACCAGAGATCAAAAGCGGGGGTCCAATACGTGCCGTTAAAACCTATATCACCAGGTCAATACGGATATTGAGGGCACGGAAGTAAGCGTTAAGACTGTGGGAAGTCCATTCTGACCACTTGTGTTCTCCCATGTGGGTCAGGTCCGACCAGGTCATCGTTCAAAATTGGATGCCAGGAGGGTAGA